CTTGGTTATTTGAAGGACCACCTACTTCCCATGGCCAATACGTGTTAGCAGAGTTGGCATACTTTGGTCCCTTTGGTTAAAAAGTGTTATCTATCAGGACCCAGGAAGTGGATGATCCTATGTTGCAGAACTTATCTTTTCAAATAAGATTCCCCCCTCAAAATCCATATGGTTCCCCACTAGCATTTAGTAAATACTTGAACACTTAGATTGTTGTCCCATTCCTTGAGCTAAAATTAGTGGGATTCCTTGTTGGATGTGACCATTATTTTTGTTTTTACTGGGAGTCTCTGTGAATCTGCATATATAGGTCTGCATCAAAATTAACTAAATAATTAATAGCATTCAATTTTAATATATAAATGAAATTTTATATTATTGGACAGAAAATAGTAACTACAATGTGTAAACATTTAGAAAATATATTATAATTTTATCTATCAGCTGCATTTGCTATCAAAATTTGTAGTTTAAAATATTTTATAAACAAAAATGTAAAAGTAAGCTTAGTAATAACAACATAACTATGAGAAAGACATCCCAAAATACTATATATGAAATCCCTCATTTCAATGTACATATAAAGTTGTTGGAGAGAGATTAAGCCAGGGGGAGGCAAAGACTGATCCCCTTTGATTGCCCTCAAACTTAATATAGTCTGGCCCAGGTGCAAACTGCCAGTTTGAGAAGATACCTGTATTATAGGCATAAGCAATAAAATAGTTAATTGAACTCTTCACATGTAGATCTTATTGTTTGTACCTGACAAAAGTGGAAATGAATGTCTGTTGGACCCCAAAAAATTCACATGAAAAAATCCCATCTGTTTCTATAGTTTTTGTTGACAAAACAGTTATTTGAAACTAAGAATATAACTCTGCATGCCCAGATGGTACATATCAGGTATATATGATAAACCAGGGGTCTTCAAACTTGGCCCTTTTATGACTTGCGGACTTCAACTCCCAGAATTCCTCAGCCAGCATGCCTGGCTGAGGAATTCTGGGAGTTGAAGTCCACAAGTTATAAAAGGGCCAAGTTTGAAGACCCCTGTGATAAACAAATGGTAACAAAAAAACAGTCCCTAAATATTTGTGCATGGCATAATAGATTGTGTTTGATTGAGCCACTAAAAACTTTACATATTATGAAATACCACTTGAAGTTCCCATTTTAAAAATATTTTTATATGCTGTTAATAATACATTGTCAAGGAGTCTTCTCCTTTAGCCTGGTGTACCTCCACTAAAAAACTATTTTAATATCTAATCCTCTCTGAATTTTGATAATGGAAACTCTGTAATTCTTGTTTCATAAGATAGAAACTAGCTTTACTGAAGCATGGAAGGCTCTAAACCAGTTACAGAACAAAACCTTTCCTTTGGTTTTCAACCTATACACATTCAGGCACAGATCTAAATGAGAAGTTTGTATGAACAACAGATATTTATGAGGCCTAGGATCATGCTAGATCAGAATCATAGCTGTCTTCAGAGGTCCAGCTGTAGGTATGAAAACTGGGCAGAGAAACAAATAAAGCTAGTATGCGTACTCTTCATTATTTAGTTTGAAGGCATTGGTTGAATTTCTGAAGGGAGCCATTCATCTGAACTACAGACAAAAAACAGAATAGCTAAAAAACAGAATTGAATTCTTAGTAGGCTAAAGCTGCTGGGTAAAAAACTGGAAATTTAGAGAGATTTATTGGAAAAAGAACAAGGAAAAAGAATAGCTGAAAGACAAGCCCAACAGAAAGAAGAGATATAGAGACAGAAGGGCTACATATTATTAGCAAAAAGAGACATTTTGTAATGGTGAACATATTTGGGAAAGATAGCATTCTAATGTGTTTGATATTAGCCTTATGTTTTTCTTATATTGTGTGAGGATGAACGACAATGTTTATATCCAATCCAACACTTGGATTTCTTGTTCATGATCTTTACCATTATAGAACATTTCCTCTACTGTCTCTGTATTGTCTGTACTCTATCCCTTTTTATATTTTTATTTTTAAAAGATTACATTTCACCAAAAATTCAGTAAAAAGAACTATGCAAGCTACCAAATTAAAGCTGCATCAATATGCAATATCTGTAGGTTCTCCTATAAATATCAAACTAAGACACAGGAGGAAAACCTACTCATTTGTACATACCCATTAATGCAGCATATAAAGCAAGAAAGATATATACGATAATGGATAGCACTCTATTCTCAAGGGAATTACATTCTAACAGCATTTCTTCAGTTGAATGAGAAAGTGCAAGACAATGAAAGCAATAGCTTCAAAAAAGAAGTGAAACTAGCAGCCCACTAAATCAAATTTTATTTAAAAGGCAAAATTCTGTTTATAGATAATCTTTAAAAATACAAGATTTTATGCTTGTTTATTAACACAAATACAATGTAAACTAATCAGAAAAGAAAACCACAGCAGAATATTTTAGTTTGCAAGAGAGAAAAGACCAATTCCAGGCATTAAAGTTGTTTTCATTATCTTTCATAGCTAAAATATAGAAACTAAGATGAAATTATGCAAATATATATTTTAATTACATTTTAAATGATTATTGTGTGGCTCCAGAAAAGCCCTTTTCCATGAGATGTAAGAAAGCTGAAAAGGTCAAGTTTTGTAGAGGCTCCAATCTAAGAACATATATTCAAGCAATTAATTTTTTAAGGAAATAAAAAGATGCATTTGCTCATATAAAGAATCCATCTCCAGTATGTAGTGATTAAGGTATTGTCTTAGAAACCAGCCATCCTTCCTCAGTCATGAAAGCCAACTAGGTGACTTTGGGTCAGTCATTCTCTCTCAGCCCAAAGAACCTAATAGGGTTATTGTTGTGAGGGAAAACCAGGCAAGCATATTAAGTACATTCACTACCTTGAAGCAGAATAAAAATATCACCATCACCACCACCACCACCACCACCACCACCATCATCATGCTGAGATACAGCACTCTCTTTCCAATTCACCTATCTGATATTGTGATATAAAGTTTGCCTGTATATGTGTAGTTTAAAATCCCAATCTCTTTTTTACACTGAATATACACAGGAAGCCAAGGGAATATATTATTCCATCCTAATATGTAGAAAAAATACAGCCATGATACCACACCTTATTTTCCATCAAAATCTTGCTTCCCAATTAAGATCACTAAAATTCTGGTAATAAAGAGTTAATATCTGCATTAATATATTTAAATAATGAAACATAGGAACATGTGTTTCATAGTAAGCCAGAACCATGGTTAATATGATTCCAGAATTTATGGAAATCCTTAATTTTCATTTGTCAATACTTTCAAATACTAACTGAATACTTTTACTCTCCAGGCATTTAATTAATGTCCTATAAAGTAGACATTCTCCTACTTTGAAACTGGATAGTATTTCATTTATTTCTGCTGTTGCCCAGCTTTCATGATTTCTCTTTTGTGTTTCTATAGTATTTTAATTTAGAAGTCATATTTAAAGAGAATTATCATCACCCTTTCATCCTTGTTCCAAAATAGATAAAATGAATGATGAATTTTAATAAAATCATATATAATGTTATGTTGTTATCTTAACAGTCATATTAAAATAACAATGATTAACAATTAGCATTATATATCCCCACTGTTGCCTTAGTACTATACACTTTGTTATTATATACTGCTCTATATATCATCTGTTTCTCTTGTTGGACTATTCCAATAAGAGACAGACAGCTGCAACACTATTTCCCCATTCACCATAAGGACCATCTGACTCTAATTGTAGTACACAGCTTGATGGGGGTCTGGTTATGAGAAGGCAAAGTATCACAGTGTAATAATCCGGAAAAGCAGAAGCCTGCCAAGCACAGGATTGAAACAGAGGCTTGGGCTGTTTAGTTGGCTGATGAGATGGAGGAAAATATGATTAATGATCAAGGTATAATGATATCAGGAACCCGATTAGCACCACAAAAAGGTCACAGATCAAAGCAGTATGCATTTCCAATCACTGCAGAAAAATCTGTACTGTGTATTGAAAGAGGAAAAAGTGCCCATTGTACCCTACAAAATTACCACTTAAAAGGACCATAATAATTTATAATTATTTCATTAATTGCAAAGATAAATATATGAGCATTCTATTTTTGAAATAGATTTAGGAGTTAATGTGTTTTGGTCAAAATATTACTTTTTTAGAAATATATTTTTCTTACTTGCATTTTTGTAATCAGACAACATTAATATCTATATAATATTAAAACTAAATACTCAACATGTAATTATTTAGACTATATTTTCAGGATGTTATTTGGAAAATGCTTAGGTATATATATATATATAGTTGTCACTTTGGTAATAGCTATGTATACTTGTATAAAATGTATAAAAAGCAAGCTAAATTATACACCATAAATGTACTGTTCACATTCATTTCTATCAATATCTTGCTTTTTTCTGTATTTTGGAGTTTAACACCTGAGCATGTGCAAACCAGCTGCACGCACCACGGCAGCGCTAGCACCCGTGTGCATGCACAAACAGAGCCATGCACACCTGCAGCGGCCTAGAGCCTGCATGCATGTGCAAATGGGCTGCTAGAGCCTGCGCAACATTGGCAGTGGCACTAGCACTCTGTGTAAATGGGACTGCTAGCACCTGCACGCATGCGCAAACGGGGCCACTAGCTCCCACATGCATGGGGAAATGGGGCTGCTAGTGCCCATGCGGCAGCTATCCCCCTCACAGTGGTGCTAGCGCAAGTGGGGGGAAGTGCACATAGACATGCGTGCACTCACCAGCCGTTCCCGCAGCCAGTGGCCACCAGGCCATGGATCAGTACTACATCATGGCCCATAGGTTGGGGAACCCTGCTTTAGATATTCCCAGTCTTCTAAAATAGCTGTTTTCATTCCAAATTACATAAATTCCAGCTTTGCATGTTTAAAAATGACATTTTTTTAAAGAAAGCTCATATCTTAACACAATTAATAGTTGCTTGTTATCTTACCAGTCTATTTATGCGAACAAATTCTTCTGGGGTTTTGGCCCATGGTGGAAGTTCAACATCAGAGACCACTGTTCCATCATCCATCACTCCAAGATTGTAATTATTGAAATTGACAAACATCTCAGGTAGATAATAAAATTCAGGAACAAGCTCCTATATGGAAATGAAAACCAGTGACATGTAATAAATTGGGTTATCATAGAAGTCACTCACTTAAAAGAGATAGTGGATGCAATAGAAAGTACCTTCATTTTGTATATATAATATTTTCATTTTACATGTATTAAATTTATGCAGAAACTTACTCATAGTGGTAAATAAATGCAATATTTGAAATGTTGAATGAAAGAATAGTAGTTATGATTAAGTGTCTAAACACAGTTTAATCTGAGATTAAAGCACTAAATCTTAGTATTTTTTAAAATAATGGAAGCTGTAACATTTAAACTCATAATATATTTTAACTTGTTTTTAAAAATGTCATGTTTAGAAACATTAAATACTCACTAAATTAAAATATATTGTAAAATGTGTAGCATTATATTCTGCATCTGATTCCAAAATCAGGTTCAGAAAAATGTATCTAAATAATCAGCTCATATTCACTGGATAATTTAAGCTACTTGATACTCTTATGTATACCATGTCTATGTAAGCAGCACTGAGTAACATACTCAGCTTGGCCACAAAATATTTACAAGATGCATTGATATTATGCATACAGCAATAAAGTATTACATTCTTAGAGTGTAGCTGGAGCTTAAAGGTGGCACCAATTTTTAGGGAAATTGGCTACTGCAATGATAATGTATAGCAGTGGTTCTCAACCTGTGGGTCGGGACCCCTTTTGGGGTTGAACGACCATTTCACGGGGTCACCAAACAACACAGTCCGCCATTTTTTTCCCCTTTTCCTTAGCTGTGCTACTCCCTTTTATTCTATTGGCTTTTGAAAGCCAATAGAATAGGCTCTCTTGAATATAGTCTAATTCTATTGGCTTTCAAAAGCCAATAGGAATTGTCCAGGCTGTCTCTGCCCTGCTGAGCCCACCAAAAGTCCCATTCTGCAAACGGTGCTGCACCAGTTGAGTAGTCTTCGACTTACGACTGGTTGAGTAGTCCTCAACTTATGACCGGTTGGGGGTCGCGGCATTAAAAAGGTTGAGAACCACTGATGTATAGGGTTATTTTTTAAAACATTTAGAATGAGTACATCTCTATTAAAGCTCCTTATCAATATTAGCCATAAAGATAGTTAAATGCTGGGTAACTTTTAAAAAAATGTCAGACAAAATATAATATATATAGAAGGGCTAAAAAAATAATTAACTAATCAATTGGTTTGGACCCAAAAGCTCCTTCTCAATTTGTGGAAGATTTATTATATGATCATTCAACTTCATTCAGTTATGATTTATTATAACTAGAAGTTTATTCTTCGTAAACTTAAGTTTTTCAGACGGACCAGTCTGATTGATTGCACCTTGGCATTTTGACTGCTATACTGCAGTTCTACTTCTTTATAATTTCTTTTGCCTTGCAGGCCCCCAACTAGGGGCGTTAAGCAGGCTCAAGTCGCAACTGTGATACATTAGAAATTCAGATTTCTTTTTGCTGACAAGAGTTAAAGATTTAAGTGGGAGACTAGTATAGCTATTTTGGATTCATTTATCCTCATCAGCTAGCCACACCCTTTATGGGATTCGAACCAGGGCAGTCTACATGCTAGGCAGTGTATTAACTGCCCTGGTTCGAATCCCATAAAGGGTGTAGCTAGCTGATGAGGATAAATGAATCTGAAATAGCTATTCTAGTCTCCCACTTAAATCTTTAACTCTTGTCAGCAAAAAGAAATCTGAATTTCTAATGTATCACAGTTGCAACTTGAGCCTGCTTAACGCCCCTAGTTGGGGAGCTGCAAGGCAAAAGAGATTATAAAGGACAAGTATAGAAAGTGGAAAGAGGGGCACATAACTAAGTCAGAATATCAACAAATAGCCTGAGCCTGCAAAGATAAAGTGAGGAATGCTAAGACTCAAAATGAACTAAGGCTTGCGACCAAAGTCCAAAATAACAAAAAAAAAAAAAGCTTCTTTCAACATGTAAAAAACAAGAAAAAAGTGAAGGAAATGATTGGTCCATTAGTGGGGGAAAGTGGCAAGAGGGTGACAAGCAACAGGGAGAAAGCAGAACTATTTAACTCGTTTTTTGCATCTGTCTTTACACAAAGGGAAAAAACAGACCAACCTACCAAAAATAGTGCCATAAAAAAACAGAATAGAAACGCAAGTTAAGATAGGGAAGAAAACAGTAAGTGAGCACCTGTCCAGCCTAGATGAGTTCAAATCACCAGGACCAGATGGATTACACCCCAGGGTCCTCAAGGAACTGGCAGATGTGATCTCAGAACCATTGAACTATATTTTTCAAAGATCCTGGAGCACTGGGGAACTACTGGAGGACTGGAAAAGAGCTGATGTAGTTCCCATCTTCAAAAAAGGAAAGAAAATGCACCCAGAAAATTATAGACCTATCAGCCTGACCTCAATACCTGGGAAGATTCTGGAAAAGATAATCAAACAACGAATCAGCGAACACCTAGAGGCCAACAAAGTCATTACTAAAAGCCAACGTGGGTTTCTCAAAAACAGATCATGCCAGACAAATCTTATTGCATTCTTTAACCAAGTGACAAAATTAGTGGATCAGAGGAATGCTGTGGATATAATTTACTTGGACTTCAGTAAGGCATTTGATAAAGTAGATCACAACCTACTACTTGATAAGATAGAAAAATGTGGGTTAGACAGCATCACCACCAGATGGATCCGTAGCTGGCTGATCGGCCATACTCAGTGTGTGGTCCTCAATGGAACCGCATCTATATGGAGGGAAGTGTGTAGTGGGGTGCCCCAGGGCTCTGTTCTGGGCCCAGTGCTCTTCAACATCTTCATCAACGATTTGGACGAGGGGATAGATGGGGAAATCATCAAATTTGCAGATGATACCAAGCTGGCAGGAATAGCCAACACTCCAGAAGACAGGCTTAGGATACAGGAGATCTGGACAGACTTGAACACTGGGTGCTATCTAACAAAATGAAATTCAATGGTGAAAAAAGTAAGGTTCTACATTTAGGCAAGAAAAACCAAATGTACAGGTATAGTATAGGGGGTACCTTGCTCAATAGTAGTAACTGTGAGAGGGACCTCGGAGTCCTAATGGACAATCACTTAAATATGAGCCAGCAGTGTGCTGCAGCAGCCAAAAAGGCCAACACAGTGCTGGGCTGCATTAACAGAGGGATAGAATCAAGATCACGTGAAGTATTAATACCACTTTACAATGCCTTGCTAAGGCCACACTTGAAATACTGCATCCAGTTTTGGTCACCACGATGTAAAAAAGATGTTGAGACTCTAGAAAGAGTACAGAGAAGAGCAACAAAGATGATTAGGGGACTGGACTTTGCAGCATATATGGAAAGGCTGCTGGAATTGGGTGTGTCTACTTTAATGAAGAGAAGGACGAAGGAGGACATGATAGCAGTATTCCAATATCTCAGGGGCTGCCACAAAGAAGAGGGAGTCAAGCTATTTTCCAAGGCGCCTGAAGGCAAGACAAGAAGCAACGGATGGAAATTAATCAAGGAGAGAAGCAACCTAGAACTAAGGAGAAACTTCCTGACAGTTAGAACAATTAACCAGTGGAACAACCTGCCCCCAGAAGTGGTGAATGCTCCAACACTGGAAGTTTTTAAGAATAGACTGGATAGCCATTTGTCTGAAATGGTATAGGGTTTCCTGCCTGAGCAGGGGGTTGAACTAGATGACCTCCAAGGTCCCTTCCAACTTTACTACTACTACTACTACTACTACTACTACTACTACTACTACTACTATTACTATTACTATTGTTATTATTATTATTATTATTACTACTATGTAGAACTGCAGTATAGCAGTGGAAATCCCAAGGTGCAATGAATCAGACCGGTCCGTCTGAAAAACTTTCTGGATATACTCCCTTGACTCGGCTGACAAAGAGGGGAGGAGAGCCGGTGGCCTGGTGGTTAATATGTAGACTGCCCTGGTTCGAATTCCATAAAGGGTGTGGCTAGCTGATGAGGATAAATGAATCCAAAATAGCTATTCTAGTCTCCCACTTAAATCTTTAACTCTTATCAGCAAAAAGAAATCTGAATTTGTAATGTATCGCAGTTGCAACTTGAGCCTGCTTAACTCCCCTAGTTGGGGGGGGCTGCAAGGCAAAAGAGATTATAAAGAAGTAGAACTGCAGTATAGCAGTCAAAATGCCAAATAAAATTATTTTGAAATTTATGACACCACATAAAGAGCTGCATATCACAAACTCCATTTTACAGTACATTGGTTGCCCAAAAAATCTGGTAATGGAATCAGGGTATGTATTTGATTTTCTATAATAATCTTACTCTGGCAACTCACTGCATCAACTACATCTGTTTGAGGAGATCCAGTAGGGATATGAGAAAATAGTACTAGGAAGAGAAAAAATATATAATTGCAACACTATCTTTAATTCCATATGAGACACCTAAAAGATGGGTAGTGTTTGTACATCAACATGTGCAATAGTCTTAATACTAACTAGTCTTTAGATTTAAATGAAAGAGCCTTGCAGGTATATTTCTTTTTGTTATAATATGGCCTCTAAAAATATAAAAATTTAATTGCTTCGTTTGATTGCCAAATGGTACTATTCTTAAATTATACTCTGTAATTCATGTAAGTCAGGTTTACTGACAGAAGCAATTTTTATACCCATAAATTAAAATTGTCACTAAAAAGTCATGGTTAAAGACTAGATAGATTTTACCCATTCAACATAATACTGAATTGCAGTATTTTAAAAATATGAGCAAAAATGTTTACATCTGAATAAACTTATTGTCCCTACACTTCTTTAGACTGTGGGCAAGAGCTGCATTTTTAATTAAAAGTCAAGGAGAAACTTAAAATTTTAATTAAGGGCATTAACTATTAAATGAAAATATTAAATAATATAAATATAAAACTATTTTACAAGATATTTAAGATTCCTAATAACATTGAACTTTGTAATGTTCTTCATTTTATAAACTTGTCTGAAATGCTTCAAATAATTAAAAAACCC